CCCAGCACTTTGGGAGGCCAAGGCGGGCAGATCACCTGAGGTCTGGAGTTTGAGACCAGTCTGACCAACAAGGAGAAACCCCGTCTTGACTAAAAATACGAAAGTTTAGCCGGGTATGGTGGCGCATGCGTCTAAGACGGCCGAGGCAGAATTGCTTGAACCTGAGAGTTTGCAGTTGTTGCCCAGGAGTTTTGGTGTACAGAGGCAGAGATCATGCCTTTGTACTCCAGCCCGGGCAACAGTGAAACTCCAGAAAGAAGAAAGGAAAGAAAAGAAGGAAGGAAGGAAGGAAGGAAGGGAGGGAGGGAGGGAGGGAGGAAGAAAGGAAGGAAGGAAGGAAGGAAGGAAGGAAGGAAGGAAGGAAGAAAGGAAGGAAGGAAGGAAGAAAGGGAGGGAGGGGGGAGAGAGGAAGGAAGGAAGGAAGGAAGGGAGAGAAAGATCCAGCAAAAATGTAAAAGAGAACTTGCAGATTTCAGGACCCAGATTCCCCTATAGTGTCTTGAGTTCATGTTCGATACCTGTCATCCTCCCTTCCCTCCTTCCAAATGCCATTTTGTGGGAAGCAGACCGAGAGGGACTGACTGGTTTAACCTAAACTTAAAGGAACTTAAGTAAATTATTGCAAGATAGTTTACCAAATTGGTCTAACATTTAGGGTTTTCCCTCCTACTGTCCAAAGGCTGAGGACATTTGATTTACACAGCTGGATGCATTTTGAGTAAATCTATGACATTCCTATAAAAATATAGTTTTTCACCTGAAATGTTGCTAAGACAGAAGATTATTCATTTGGTAATTGTAATTTTTTTCGAGCTTAACTTTTCAAGGGTATCTACATTTTTCTTACATCCAAATTTTTGGTGGATTTCCACATATTGCCAGCTATATGCTTACATGTATACCAAATGACTTCTTAGAATATATGAGGGAGTGATACAATTATGTTTGGATGAGTTAGACATGAGTAAAGCTGCTGTTGCAGAAAAGAATGACAGTCACAAAATTTTTTTAATTCTTAATTTTTATTTATTATTATTATTATTATTATTGGTTTTGTTTGTTCCTCAGCTGGAAGACAAAATTAATGTTATGGTTAGATAGTCCCAATCAATAAACTATTATACAGAAAATGTATTTTGCTTCCTAAATGGCCAGAATGAATGAAATGAGTGGAATTATTAAAAAAGTAAAATGTAGGCCAGGCATGCTGCCTCACACCTATAATCTCAGTACTTTGGGAGGCCAAGGTGGGCGGCTTGCTTGAGACCAGGAGTTCAAGACTAGCCTGGCCAACATGGTGAAACCCTGTGTCTACTAAAAATACAAAAATTAGCCTGGTGTGGTGATGCATGCCTGTAATCTCAGCTACTTGGAATGCTGAGGCGGGAGAGTTGCTTGAACCTGGGAGGCGGAGGTTGCAGTGAACTGAGATCATGCCACTGCACTCCAGCCTGGGTGACACAGTGAGATTCTGTCTCAAAAGAAAAAAGGAAATTTTGAAGTCAAAGAACCATTTTATTTATTTTTATTTTTTTTTAAATTTTATTTATTTATTTAAGATGGGGTTTCACCATGATGGCCAGGCTGGTCTTGAACTCCTGACTTCAGGTCATCCACCCACCTCGGCCTCCCAAAGTGCTAGGATTACAGGCCTCACGTGAGCCACTGTGCCCGGCCTATTTTTATTTTTTGAGATGGAGTCTCGCTTTGTCGCACAGGTTGGAATGCAGTGGCACGATCGCGGCTCACTGCAACCTCCACCTCCCGGATTCAAGCAATTCTCGTGCCTCTGACTCAAGTAGCTGGGATTATCGGCGCGCATCACCTTGCCCCGCTAATTCTTTTATTTTTAGTAGGGATGGGGTTTCATCATGTTGGCCAGGCTAGTCTCAAACTCCTGATCTCAAGTGACACCCCCACCTTGGCCTCTCAAAGGTGTATATAAAAATACAAATATTAGCGGGTCCTGGTGGCACATGCCTATGGTCCCAGCTACTAGGGAGCTGAGGGAGGAGAATAGCGTGAATCCGGGAGGCGGAGGTTGCAGTGAACGGAGATCGCGCCACTGCACTCCAGCCTGGCAACAGAGCGAGACTCCATCTCAAAAAAAAAAAAAAAAAGAATAAAATAAAAAACAATTAAATTAGTGAGTAACCTTGGTGAAAATCCACGTCCATACATTTCTCTTCAAAGCTAAAAAAAAAAAAAAAAAAAAAAAAAAAAAAAATCAACCCAGAGGTGAGGGTAGAAGACTGCATCTGCGAGTGCATTTAAGCATCACTCACTCTGTGTTAAAGGAGAAAGTGGACAACCTCTCAAGGAAACTTTATCCTGCCCCCAAAGGATTCAATTTCCCTAACAAATTTGTTTATACCATATCTTGACAAGATCAAGACATTCTGGCAGGGCAAATAGTAAAGACTAAATCTTGCATATTGAGGAAAACTTCCTGAAAAGCCCAGTGTATCTGGCACGAGAGGTGACTGGGGTCCTGGGCCTAGGGAGGCAGGGAGGGGAGACGCAGGTATCACTGCGGGCGCCCAGCTGCTTATGTCACAACTCGCGGAAGACGCCACGCGCCGGTTGCTAGGGAGGCCGCGCTCCCCACCCCGCCCAGTCTGCCCCGGTGCTCCCGCGTTCGGTGACGGCCGGGTAGGCTGTAGGCAGCGCGATGCCACGGGAGAGCTGCTGGCGGGGGCGGTGGGATCTTGGTGCACCATGAGCCCAGTTGGAGCCGATGAGCACAGCGCACGCCACCCTCCACTTGCCCCGGGGCCTCGACTGCTAAGATAGCCGCGGCCGGACAGGAAGCCCGAGGAAACGGCAGGGCCGCGTCTCTACTAACACGCGAAGGTAAAGTAGCTCGGTCCACAGCGCCGCTCGGGGGCTCCTAGGGGAAGGTCTCCACAGCTGAGGCGTGGAGGGGCGGGGATGCCGGGAAGCGGGGAGGGGAGCGGCGGAGGAGGAGAAAAGGGCGGGGCGGGGAGCGGCGGGGGAGGAGAAAGGGGCGGGGAGGAAGCCGCCTACGCGGGCTCGGGGCTGGGGGCTCGGGGTCTGGGTGAGAAGCAACGGAAAAGCGGTGAAAAAGGAGGCCGCGGGCGGAGACTAGGGCTGAGGGCGGAGCGTCAGCAGGGGCCCGGAGCTCGGTAAGGGCGTGGCCTGGGGCGTGAGGCCGCGGCCTGTGGACAGGGTGAGGGGCGAGCGGGGCGGGCTCCCGGCACACTTGGAGCCCGGCCTCCCGCCAAGCACCGCCCCCATCCAGCCCCTGTGGGAGGAGCCTGGGAGGGGCCGCCTCTGGCCCTGCGCGTGCGGCGGTCGCGTCTCTGCGTTTGCCCCGCCCTGCCCAGGGCCCCGCCCCCTTCCTGGCGCGGGTCGCATCCTGACGCGATCCCCTCCCCCCTCCGGATTCGCGCAGGGAGTCAGGCCCCGGGCCGCCACCGTCACCTCGGCCGCTGCAGCCGTCGCCATCGCCTTGTTCCCTCACCCTCCCGCCATGGCCGAAGAGCTCTCCGCGGCCACTTCGTACACCGAAGATGATTTCTACTGCCCAGTCTGTCAGGAGGTGCTCAAAACGCCGGTGCGGACTGCGGCCTGTCAGCACGTGTGAGTAGACGCCCCTTCCCCCTTGCAGAGCCGGGTGGTCGTTTAGGCCCGACCTCCGGCCCGGGACCCCCGGCTGCCGCCTGGCGGGCACTGAGGCCGCCACGGCCTGCCCGAGCGTCGCTGGCCCCCGAAGTCCCGTTCCTCGCCCCTCAGAGCCCCGGGCCGCCCTCCTCCCGAGCCTCGGGGCCCGCTCTCAGCGCCCGGTTCCTCAGCCCGAGCTCCCACTCTGTCTCGCTTTCGCGCCCCCGGGGCAGTGGCCAGGCCGTTCGTTCCCTGCGGCTTCCTCAGGCCCCGGAGGCCCCTGTCGTCTCCGCCGGGCCCGGGAGGAATTGCAGGGAACGTGGAGCCTTTTTGTTTCTTAGCAACCCGAGTGAAGGCTGGGGTGTCGAGTGTCATAAGCGGCCGGCGCTGCCCGCGTGGGCCCGCTCGCCCCGCGCCTCGACTTGCCCTGCTTTCGAGTTTCCTCTTTCAGAACCTTGGTCCGTCGCCTCGGTCCAAGAGCTCTTCTGTATGTAACTTCCCCTCAACCCCGCTTCACGGAACACCCTCGGGAACGTTTTGTTCCGTTTCCAGTCCACTGTGTGTTAGAGGGATCCTCAATGAGTTTTTTCGTACTGTCTGTTAAAACTGACAGGATTTTCGGCATTCAAATGATCGTTCCCCTTTGTTTTACCTTTCCGCTTATTACTCGGCTGCTACAGGGGTGGAGAGGAGAAAGGAAGACTTCTGTTACGAGGAGTGGACCGAAAATGAGATGCTACCCAGGGTGGGGGAAGAACACAAAGGGGTTGGCTGAGATAACTCGTACGTTTGATTGACAGGCATATTTTTAAGAACTTTGATAAAATTCTTTGGACGGCTAGGGTGTCAGTAAAGGTGGAAAAGAGCCCTTCTTAAAAAGGTGTATAGCCCTTCTGACCTGACTGATGATCAGAGTCCCCGGGGAACTTTTTAAGTAAACATACCAATTCCCAAGGTCCATTCCAAACTTACAAAAGAATTTTCAGGCAGGTGGGGCCTGGAAATCTTTATTTTCAGGCTTGAAAGTTACATGTGCTTGCAAACAACCAAAAAATTGACTAACCAACTGTATTTCATTCTCCTTCCACTTTTTGTTTTTTGAGGTGAGACTATAATTTTGTAAAGGATGGATTGAATTTTTGGTTCTTAATTGCAAATGCCCTTACTCTAGTTTTCTTGATACCAACTCTCCTCATTTTGTCTCCCAGTCTTAACTGCACTGTCTACTTTATTCCTATTTTGTGCTGGTTGTGTGAGCCAAGAGGGTGTGGATTTTCATGATACAAATTATGCCAGTTATGTTTTCACTCTTTAAGGGAGATGAATGACATTATTTTGTGCAGCAAAAGCAGATTCTTAGAGAAATGTTTTGAGGGATCCTTTTGTAGTTCATTAGTGTGATGATTGAGTGTTCACAGGCGTGTGTGAGATGTGCCATCCTCAAACCTTGTTACAGGGTCAGCACATTACCCATCTGACATGAAAAAAAAGGTTTGGAGATGTCTAGGGCACTATATATAAATCTTTCAACACTTTTAATCTATAACTATTATCATAACTTTGTCCTTTTTCAGTATTTAAAAAAATTTAAGTGCTGTGTTGGCAGTGGGTAGATAAAAGGGAGGGAGGAGGGCAAGGTGAGAGGAAGTTGTAATAGCTGCTAACTGTATATATACAAAGCAGGTCTTTTTTGGATAGAATCATTCTAATTATCTTTTGGGTCACTGACCTCATGGACCTCATTGTAATTTTTTAGCACTCTCCAAAATTCCATGTAGATTGCTCTAGTCCACTTCCCTTTTGGGACATTTTAGATCAAGGACTATAATTTGGTTTGACCTCAAGACTAGGAACATATTGGAGATGATTGTTTTCAATTCAGACCTTTCTCAAATCAACTCCTCGTGCTTACACAGTTCTGCCTGAACAATGAATTAAAGAATAGGCAGAGGGAGAAAAAGTTTTATTTGGAAGAGGTGGTAGTGAAGGAATAGGATCTTAATCAGTTAGAAGGAGTTTAGTGGGGAAATGGAGAGAATTTTAAATTATTATTATTTTTTTGAGACATGGCCTTGCTCTGTTGTCCAGGGTGGAGTGCAGTGGTGTGGTCACAGTTCATTGCAGCCTTGACCTCTCACGTTCAAGCAATCCTCGAGCCTCAGCCTCTCAAGGTGCTGGGACTACAGGAGCATGCTACCATGCCTGGCTATTTTTATTTTCTTTTTTATAGAGACAGGGTCTCACTATGTTGCCCAGGTAGATCTTGAACTCCCGTGCTCAAGTCCTCCTCCCACCTTGGCCTCCCAAAGTGCTGGGATTACAGGCATGAGGCATGGCATCTGACCTATTTTTTAAGTAAATAATTATGTATGTCATTTGCCCTACCTTCTTCACAAAGGACAGACCTATGCCTTTAAAGAAATTTATATTTGGCTACAAGATCAATTTTTGATTCATGAATAGAGAGTTGAAGTGATAAGGGCTTTAGGTTACTGTGGATCAGTTAGAAAATGAAAAAAAAAATTATTTTTTTTTGTTCTAAAGATGGGGTTTCACCATGTTGGTCAGGCTGGTCTTGAACTCCTGACCTCAGGTGATCCGCCTGCCTTGGTCTCCAAAGTGCTTGGATTTTGGGTGTGAGCCACCGTGCCCGGCCAGAAAATGAAAAATTTTTATTGCTATTTCAGTGACAGGAAAGGATTTGACAACTGACTATCCTAGTTAAAGGAGCAAGTTCATTATCATTAGAATAACATTACTAAAATATAAATTCCCATTTAATCCCCATTCATTCCCTGAAACTGCTTTCTGTTTGTCTGGTGCAGGGACTACTGTTTCCCTGGAGACTGTTAATAGGCCACTGGAGAGACCTATAAATAAGTGTGATTGATATAGAAGAGATTTTATGTGAGCATCTGGAGTAGGTATCTAAATTAGCCTAAAGGGTAGGCATGACTTCCTAGATGAAATAATGCCTTAGGTCAGAGTTTGTATTCAGGGTTTGTGGGACATGCCAGAGTCAGGGAGGGTACAGAGGATGCACATGAGCTGGACTTTGAAGTTTGGCTGGAGCCAAAGACAGTGTAGTGAGATGAAACTTAGAGTTACTGTCAGGAACTTAACTGTGTAAGCTAATTTGAGTGTTTTCCAGAAAACCTATTAAAAATTAGATAACCTAATGAATAATACAAGACCTAGTAAGTAATTTTTGGTAGGGGAGCAGGATGGTCACATTTCGTTTTTAGAGTTTACCTTCATATCAGGGTTTTCAGCTTGGTAGTGATGAGACTAGTGAAGAGGTCATTCATTGATGTGTCAGGGAGAGAAATGATTAGAACCTGAACTAAGGAAATGATAGTAGGAATGGAACAGGGAGACTCCTGACATTTTAAGGACATCATGTAAGATTTGGTGACTGTGTGTTCAACAGTTAAGTGTATATACCATATGTAGATCTGGAATACATGGAGCTAAAGCTGTGGTTGTTGACGTAGATATCAAGTTAGATATATAATTTGAAAGATTGAAGAGCACCTGGATAGAGCAAAGTATTGGAGAATACTTATTTAAATATTGAGTGGAGAAAATTGCAGCCTGACAGGAATGAACAGAAGGATAGGAAGAAAACCAGAAATAAAGTGAGAGTGGAAACTGAGGATTCAAATCATATCCTAATGACTATTAAGGAAACAGTCATCATTGTCAGATGCTTTAGAGTGGTCAGATGTAATTTTTTTTTTGAAATAGGGTCTTGCTCTGTTGCAGGGAGTGCAGTGGCATGATCATAGCTCACTGCAGCCTCAACCTCCCAGGCTCAAGAGATCTTCCCACCTCAACCTCCCAAGTAGCTGGGACTACAGGTGCGCACCACTATGCCTGGCTATTTAAAACTTTTTTTGTAGAGACGGGTCTTGCTTTGTTGGTCAACCTGGACTCTTAACTCCTGGGTGCAAGGCATCCTCCCACCTCAGCCTCCCAAAGTGCTGGGATTACAGGCATGAGCCTCCATACCTGACAGATGTAATATTTTGGAAAACATGTTAACACAAATTAATGTGAAGCTTGAGCAGGTAGTCAAAGCAAGGTTTCAGAAGAAAAGTAAGGTGTTTGTCTCTTTTGGTATTTTATTCTGTAATCTTCAGAGGCTCTTGGAAACCTCAGTTCTTCCTTGTTTTAAACAGTCAAGAAAAGAACCTTTTTTTTTTTTTTTTTTTTTAATGAGACGGAGTCTTGCTCTGTTGCCCATGCTGGAGTGCAGTGGTGCAATCTCGGCTCACTGCAACATCTGCTTCCTGGATTCAAGCAATTCTTCTGCCTCAGCCTCCTGAATAGCCGGGATTACAGGCACGCGCCACCACATCTGGCTAATTTTTGTATTTTTAGTAGAGACGGGGTTTCACCATATTGGTCAGGCTGGTGTCGAACTTGTGATCTGTCCGCCTTGGCCTCCCAAAGTGCTGGGATTACAGGCATGAGCCACCGCACTCGGCCGGAAATAATTCCTGTACATGGCAGAAGTAAGCTACTTTTGCAATAAAAATTACATATAATAACAAGTTTGATTCTTTGCTAAACTCCTAAAAATGGAAATCTAATCTGTTTTTGCTTTTAGGCCTCTCTGTAAGGAGGCATCTTTTAAAGTGAGCATCTACTTCTTGTTAAGCACAAATTTGTGTAATTTCCTTTTTGTCTTAATTGAACTATCCAGTTCCTGAGTTTTCAATTCATATTTACTTTTTTTAATAATTAAAACAAATTTTTTAATTAATTATTTTTGAGACAGAGTCTTGCTCTGTTGCCCAGGCAGGAGTGCAGTGGTAGGATCTTGGCTCACTGCAACCTCCACCTCCTGATTTAAGCAATTCTTCTCCCTTGGCCTCCTGAGTAGCTGGACTACAGGCACGCACCACCATGCCAGGCTAATTTTTTATATTTAGTTAGAGACAGGGTTTCACCATATTGGCCAGGCTGGTCTGGAACTCCTGAACTCAGGTGATCTGCCCGCCTTGGCCTCCCAAAGAGCTGGGATTAGAGGCATGAGCCACTGCACCCAGCCTAATTAGTTAATTTAGAGACAGGATCTCACTCTGTTGCTCAGGCTAGATATACTTTTTTTTTTTTTTTTTTTTTTTTTGAGACAGTCTTGCTCTGTCACTCAGGCGGGAGTGCAGTGGCATGTTCTTGGCTCACTGCAACCTCTGCCTCCTGGATTCAAGTGATTCTCCTGCCTCAGTCTCCTAAGTAGCTGGGATTATAGGCATGCAACCACCATGCCCCTCTATTTTTTGTGTTTTCAGTAGAGATGGGGTTTCACCATGTTGGCCAGGCTGGTTTTGAACTCCTGACCTCAAGTGATCCAACCACCTTGGCCTCCCAAAGTGCTAGGATTACCGGTTTGAGCCACTGCACCCAACAACATGTTTCTTATAGTTTACATTTTTTAAAAGATGGGGTCTTGCTATGTTGCTCAGGCTGGTCTCAAACTCTTGGCCTCAAGCAATTCTCCTACCTGGGCCTTCTGAGTAGCTGGGACTATAGGTGAGTGCCACAGCACCTAGCTTTTTGTAATTTTAACAGCTTTATTGGTATCTTGTTACTTGAGTAGTTATGTTCTAAGTATATATTTTGAAATAATTTTCTTTCCTAAAGTCTGTGCAATTTAATTATATAACAAAAGATTGACTTAATTTTAAATCTTGAAGACTAGTTTAAAACCTCTGATTTTTTTTTTTTTTTTTGAAGTTATTTTGGGAAATGATCTCGATTATATAGACTAGGAAGACAGACAGACTAAGTGACAGATTTTAAATTATTTAATTTATACCGAAATTGGGAGCATGATGAGTGGGAATATTGTTTTTCCTCTCTCAGTATTTGTTGATCAGCCTTTTGTTGACAGAATGTGTAATGGAAATTCACCTAGCATCTATTAGTTTAAAGTTGAGAGAAATGTGAAGCAAACCTTTTTGGTTGTTAAAGGGTAATGCCCTATCCTGAAGATACGGGCCTTTTCAGAAACATGAAAATCAGTTTTAGTAATTCTTGATTTGTACCTTTTTTCCTTTTCACTTCTGCTTTGTTTTGAAATAAGTTCTAGCAAATTCATCCATTCCAGCGCAAAGTGAGACGAGAATAAGCAGTTTTATGTCTAAAGAAACATGCTGCGTGGTACAGAGGAAGGAACAGTAAAATTGGAGATAAAAGACCTGGATAACTTCCTTTGTACCTCTATTTTATTTTTTTGAGACAGTCTTGCTTTGTTGCCAGGCTGCAGTGCAGTGGTGCAGTCTTGGCTCACTGCAACCTCCACCCCACCAGTTCAAGAGATTCTCCTGCTTCAGCCTCCCGAATAGCTGGAACTACAGGCATGTGCCACCACACCCAGCTAATTTTTTTGTATTTTTAGTAGAGATGGTATTTTACTATGTTGGTCAGGCTGATCTAGAACTTCTGACCTCAAATGATCCACCCACCTCTGAC